TGTCTTGGACGTGTCTACAGCAACTGTTGGCTTTATGCCAGCAACCGACACGGCACAAAAAGTCAGCAATGAAAACTGATTGCTTCTAATTTCGCTATTTTTTCTATTTACCTGTGCTTTTTTTGTTTTTTCCTATCTCAAAAATTTGATTATCACTAGAATGAATGACTAGGTTCTCGATAATGGTCTTAACATAGGCTTTGATGTTGGTTTTCGCAGTTGAAATCCGCTAAATATTCCTCTACGACCTTCCAAACAACAACTTAACATCTAGTGTTCCATGTGGTTGTTTGGAAGATCGCATGGAACAGTGGGCGGGCTCAATGGGGTTGGGGCGGCGCCAATGCTCCAACCTAGGCTCCTAGCGCCTAAACCTTGTCAAATCGCCCCGCCACTTCTGCACATGGTCTGCCCTTGCGTACTGCTGCATATTTGACGGGAAAACCTAAATTTCGCCAGAAATCCCGAACTTTGCCTTTAATTGTCATTATGGAAAGGTAGACAGCTGATATTCAAGTCATCAAATTTTTTTCCCTCGACAACTCCAGAGCTAATCTACTGAACTCGCAGTGATAGAAGGCTGGCTAGACTGGACGGCGTGCGGTCGATTACTCGATCCCCTGGCCGTGCGTGTGGAAAACGCCGCTTCTTGCCACTCCGTCAGCTGCATATAACCAATAATGATAAAGGATCCTACTTACTATAAAGCGTTTCGTCTGTCGTTCTGTCTGCCGTCTGTCGTCTGCCGTTCTGTATGTCTGTCACGAAATTCCCTAGCTTCTGGGATCGGCCTGGAGAGACCGGGTAAAGTGTGGGATGGGTGGGCAAGGTCTCGCGAAGTACAAAACAGACAGCAGCTAAGCAAAGCCCCGCCTACAGTGGGCGTGGCGTGCATCGAAATGAGTGGCGCTGACGACCAGGATTTCGGAAACTATACCAAAAAAGCCTCGAAACTGGGGGAAAAACGTAGGTAAAGGTGTGCATTGGTAAGTTAGATCGAACTAAGGAGAACACCCGGTGGGCGGGGCGTTCTCAAAAAAGCAGTGCTTAACAAAAAAATTGATAACTTGGTTGGGAGAAGGCCTACAGAGCAGAAAAAAATTGGTGCAGGGAAGCAATGTCTAAGGTAATCCCGCATACATGACGAGAGTGGAGGCCCCCAAAATGGGCGGAGCGCGCTCTGAAGTGTACGGCATTTTCTACAGTTCCTCATAATTCGGGCAGAAGTTTAGGGAGCCAGAAAAAGGTGGATAGAGATGGGTGGAGGAGTGGAGGTCAACTGTCGGTGGGCGGGGCATGCGCTGGGACGGAGATTGCGACAAAAATTCATAACTCGGTTCCAAAAAGTCCTGGAGACCAGTAGAAAAGAGAATCAAGTCTGACTACGAAGGTGAAGTCAAATGTCATTGCGGGAGGGAAGGGGGCGGAGCACGCACCAAACTGGGCGCAGTTTGTCAAAAACTTTTTCGGTTCCAAAAAGTTCCCAAGACCGGGGAAAAGGGGTAGGGGATTGGCAAAGGAAAGGAGGGCAAATGCTATTGGTGGGCGTAGTCAAGAACGGCGTTTCCACACGCACGGCCAGGGGATCGAGTAATCGACCGCACGCCGTCCAGTCCAACCAGCCTTCCATCACTGCGAGTTCAGTAGATTAGCTCTGGAGTTGTCGAGGGAAAAAATTCGATGACTTGAATATCAGCTGTTTACCTTTTTCGAATGATAATTGAGCTTAAGTAGTAATTAATTAAATAGTCAATTGAGAGAGAGATGCGAAGGGTAACGGGTCGGCGAGGTGCACGTGAATCGCACGTGGCCGCCAAGACGATCGCCAATGGGGAGAAAAAGGTGAAAAAACAAAGTTTCGTGTGCAACCTGTGTTGTACACCATTCGATAGTATTTTTCATGGGAAATCGAATGGTGCACATTTCAGGTTTCAAAGTCCTTCTGGACAAGCAAAAAACTGATATCACAAGGACATGACGAGCAGTGATGTTTGGGGTCACACCACGGAAGGAACGCTCACCTGCGACCAAATTTTTACCTAATTCCTACAGACAAGTAACCGTAGTCTACGCCGGTGAGAGATTCCTCGCTATCTTCTCAGGTTTCCACAAAACATCTCCTCTAAAAGTGGGGAATGTCACATAATGGGCCTACCACTACTGCAATCCTAGATGAAGCTCTTTCGATTGAAATATAGCATCTTGTAAATCTCGAGCAGAGCTATCAGCTGGTATAACTTTCAAATCGCGCGAACCATTTCTTCAAGAGTTATGGCGAGGCGACGGTTTGCGACGGTTTTTACCCGTCGCAAACAAAAATTAGTATCAGTCTTGTAGGCATAAGAACACTGTAATCGCTTGCTGTACACAATTGCATGGGCGCAAGGTGGGAAATATACGTACATAACATCTGGGGCCGTAAGGTATTTCCCCGAACAGGAGAGGAACCCCTCCCTGGTAATGTATGCTCTCCCCGAAAACTCTCGGGGAAAGAAAATAGCATCGGTTCTCGGGTATGTCTCCCAGACTGCATGTCAATTGCAAGGATATTTCGCCGATTGCATGTCAATCGGGGAGAACCCCGAGAACTGGAGGCGTGGCCCTTTCCCCGAGAGTTTTCGGGGAGAGCATACCTTACCAGGGAGGGGTCCCTCTTCTGTTCGGGGAGGCATACCTCAAGGGCCCTGGTGGGTTCAAAATGGGGCCGAGGAAGTGGAGAAGAGCTCGAAGGAAGGCTTTGTGAAATCATGAAGGCGGTAGCTAACGATAAGATGTCGGTCAGACTCTGCGATTGCATCGCGATGGACCAGTGCCGGAGCGACGCGATCGCTCCATCGCTTGTCCACCGCGATGCAATCGCTCGGCGCAAGAGTGGGAGCAACGGGCGATTGGCCCCGCCTCCGCCCACGATCGATATGAGCAGCATTGAGATCTCTCCCTGCCAACCGATAGTTTTCATGAAATGACTTACAGTCATTTCGAGCATATTAGCAGGCATACACATGGTTAGACTCGCCACAGAGAGGCGAGTCTATTGCTGTAAAGATCTTTCCATTTTACCCGCTTTCAAGGAAGTTATAATGGTGCGACGGTTTGCGAGCACTACAGAACCGTCGCGACGCTTCAGAGCCGTTGCAACGCAATGATGTTACAGCAGTATTGTATAGTAAATGATTGATATCTCTCATTTTCGGGCCTGCCCCCCCCCCACTCCACATTAGAGTTGTCATGGAGTGTAACAATGACATTTGTTACATGAACAAATTGGAAGTAAATATTCTTTATTCGGCTTATATAACTAATTGGATTAGTGTCAAATAGTGATTATCCTTTGCGCCACAACTTTTATTGGACGTGCTCAAGACATAAGTTGATTTGGCGGATTTGCATCTTCTGAATACAAGATGATATTTTTGAACACCCGTTATGATTCATTATCACACTAATTGCACTGGAGAAGTAGCCAGTGTTGACCATTTTCTTTCTTAGTTATAAGCTTGATGCTGCACCCAACCTTGGTAGCCTGAGCCGTGCCAAACCAAATCTGAAGCAAAAAATGAGTCTCTTGGGAAGCTACTATGTTGCTTTGCGCTACTCTTCAAATAACTATCTCACCTCATTTTTGTGGACATTCCCAATTGCTTTCTCCAACGTTTCTGTGATTAGTTTGCCTCGAAGCATTTTCTTGGAAGTGACACAGTCAATGCATAGCTCGTGCGAAGTAGAAGTAAACAGATTTTCTAGCTTTTCATATATTTTTAGAATTTCTAGAGATAGACTATTCAAAGAGATACCTTTCGACTAGCGAATGGAAACCGTCATGTACTTTGCTTTGGTATTCATGTGTGAAGGCTTCTCTTGCAAGGTTGCAGTCAAACTCCTGCAAAAACGGAAAAATTTTCAAGATATTTGAAGTGATGGGTTTTAGTTGTTTCTTGTTTATTGACTGTGTCTGGCATAGGGTTCTGCCATAATCACGAGCGCAGCTGATCCATTAAGGTATGGGAATAGTCCTTAAATCATATTGATTTCTTAAAGGGGAAATGTCCACACAACCATAGTTTAGCTCCTAGAATTGTGTAACGGTGCGCCAACGCCCACTCTAGCTGCGAGATTCTTGAATATCCATCAAGTGAAGTACCCAGGAGCGGGAGAGCAACTACAGTGACACCCAAACGTATGTACTATGCCAAATGATTTGGACCGTAAGTTTTTTGCTGGGTCGAATTGGCTCGAATTTCATTGTATGTCCCAAAAAAGTCTTTCATCTTCAGCATAATAATTTAAAATCCCAATTAATGTGGTGGCGAGCTAAATGGCACATTCTAAAATTCTATATAAATTAGCTCTTAGTAAACATTTCTGTAAGTAGTGCTAGCCATAGATAATATGGAACCTGCATAAATCATTGGGTTCATAAAGTTCGTAGTACTCAATATATGTCAGATCTCCATAAATCTGTTAAATATAAGAAAATTTTTAATTCTTTTTTCTGAGTTCTTGCTAATGAGCTAGAAAAGTGGAGCTCTGCTAAAGTTACAAAAACGACTTACGACGTGTCCCAATAGTAAATTTACTGCGCTGTTGTATTCCTTACGCTTCGAATTTATGGCATTTGCCAGAAATACTTGAATTTTTTCGGGAACGTTTTCCTCGCAGTTGTAACCTGAGAACGGGAACTGAACACATGAAGTCAAAATGTGAAAAATCCTGTAAAGCAGACCTTCAGCATGCCCACTGGAGAGCAAAAGGACGAAGGAAATCTGAAGAACACAGTCAGATAAGTTCTCTGCGAGTATGTAGGTTAACATGATTATTCTTACTTACAACTTCCCAACTTACCATTCAGCGACCTTTTCTTCTTTTCATCGTGAGTTCAAAAGCATATGATTTTAACGGTGTTAGTGACAAATCACTCTCGTGATTAGCGTTTTACTTTAAACTATAGTGAAACATACCAGAAAAAGGATGTACGAATGCATTTTTAGTGAGTGACGGTGCCAAAAACGAAAGCTGAATTCGACTTACAATCTGACGAAGGGCTCATTTATAAAGCATCCAACCTTAATGGGAAGGCCACATTAGCCTGTTAAAACAATATCCAAGGACATGCTAT